GGGGGGGGTGAGTCATATTTGTAAAGCTTTCTATGTGATTTTGCCAACAGCCTCCCCACCCCCATTTGCTAATAAATGAAAGCCCCCTTATAGACTTTTTAATAATAATCAAGTCATATTTTATGAAAAGATCAACGAACAAGTAGAGTTTGTCCTTTCAGTAGGAAGGCAGCATGGAGTAATCTCATCAGAATAATCAGATGAATGAGATCCATGACATTCATCATTTGGACAAAATGGTAATTGTAAACTAGTTCAGAATTTTTTCTAGAGAGCATTCATTCCGCACTAACTAGATACGTACCTTTCATCTTGATCAATAGTATCATTCTCTGCAGGATCAGCATTGCTGTTTGATAATCCAACCTTGGACAAGAAGCAAAGGGTGGGATCTGCTCTTATCAGGTTGTACCGCTCGTAGCCTGCAAAAAGATTAGAAAAAGAAAACTGAATTATTTAATCTCACCACAATGGTGTATGATTAATATAATTTTGCACCCGTTGGCTTGATCAGTAAAGGTATGTTGACATCAGTGTTCAGAAGTCTAACATGTGGAATAACATCACATCAAAGGGTGCACAAATAATATAAATAGATTAACTGAAAGGAAAGATGTCACTAGTCACTAGGCACTGATAAAGTTTATATTCAATGCCTGGTTTTATATAGGTATTTCACTCACAAATATACTGTCTAATGTACCAACATACCATGTTTGAATACCCCAACCAGGAGTGACTTGTCGCAATCTATGTCCCACCAATCAGCAGGAGGATCACCTTCTGGGTTGTATATCGTAATGTCCAGGTCACTAGATGAGAAAAAATAGAAAATGGTGTAAATACTGATCGTACGAGGGGATCAAGACCACATGAAGCACATGTTTAATAGTGATATTCAAGGTCTACAAACAAGGCAGTCATATTTTTTCATTCAATTTTCCCAAAAGATCTCTCTGGTTCCAAATCAGAGGTGTGAAAACATATAATTTGCCATCACAACAAAGTAGGTCTTGGTGAAGGGTATATCAAGACATTTCCATGACATTCCTATGCCAACTACCAAACCTCTATATTTTTGCAACAGCAACTTGTATGTTTTTGCACATGTGGTCGGGAAGCACTGACGGCACATTMACATCACTACTACTACCATCACAGCCTCATTCTAGGTAAAGAATGTCAACATATTGTTCAGAATGTGAACAGCTTTGATTTTAATCATTGGCTGGCTTTCATTATCCTACCAGATACGTGGCATACAACCTCCTTACCTTGCATTACATGAACCCTCTCTGATAACTGGCACAAGGGCACCTACGACTTCTGTCTTAAGGTAGTAAAGTAGTCTGACCCTCAGGAGAATCCTGTCACAAAGGAAAGATGACTACAATCAGTGCTATAACTTTTTCATGTTCATCTTTACCTTAAAGTATCTAATAGACCTTTCCGGAATTTGCTTGAGTGACCATGAAAACAATGATTCAAAGGTTGAACTTGATACTTGTAGTGTTTATACATTTACTGTATTTATCAATTCCAATCTTGACATTACCATTATCATTGTCATCATCAATACCATTACCATTACAACATCACCATCGCCATCGCCATCGCCGCCGCCGCCGCCGCCGCCACCACCACCACCACCACCACCATTGCCCTCACCAAAACCATCATCAAACAATAATCACAACATACTTATTGCAGTGGTGTTGTAAATGCTTCTTGTAGCCATTATCAAGGATAATTGTCTCAGGATCAATAGTCTTCCAGTCTGCACCAATTTCTATCAAAGCAATGGCACTCTTATTTGCATTCTTGGAGCTCTTTCCTTTCTTGCCTCGACCTTTACCCTTTGACGGTGTAGAAATAGGTGAATAGGTCTTGTCTCTATCATCAATGGAGATCTTATCTCTTGACACAGAAGTCTTGACGATGTCTCGAATGAAAGATTTGACTTTGTCATCACCATGGTAATGGTGTAGACAATAAACCAAAATGGAACGTGCAATGCATTCAACGTCTCTTTCAGCAAGTTTACTCTTGAACCTGCCATGGAGAAGAATCTCCTTGAATCTGCCCCATCTGAAATTCAAAAAAAAATCCATGATTGAATTGAAGAAAAACAAGAAAACAAGGAGTAAGACCCCCAATACACAGGAGTAAACCAATAGGCATTATAAAATAGCTGTTATAAAACTCTGATTGGTTGGAGGGCCCATGGGTRCGGAGATGCAGCACATTTCCTATTGCATCATTCATACACCTACTTGCAAGAACGTTGTGGATAGGAATTATATTAAAAAACAAAAGAAGATCACTGAAGCTGAACTTTTTCTTTTAATGTATTCCTTTGTCACTAAATTACTAATGTTCTAATATCGCATGACAACGTTCTTGAAAGTAGGTGTCTCCAAAATAATGGCTTTTGTAATTTGTATTTTATAAAACAAATTAAAAAGTTGCTTGCAGTGCCGTGTGCAGTCAACTGCACTTCACCAATATGCCTACCATGTCTTCTTTTTTTAGGAGTCACACTACTCTCTGCTATCAAATGGTGGTTCATAGCGGGTTGACAAGTTTTCAGTAGCTTACCCATAGATGAGAAGATTCTTTTCAACTCTGAAGCACTCCACTCTGGTCCAAGCTGCTCTTCTTGGTACAATGACTTCCTCTTCCTCCTCCAGGTCAGACAGCTCAAAGTCACCATCTTCATTGCCATAACGTTTGGTCTGTTTGCGCTGACGAGGCATATCAATGATGCGATCATCCTAGCAAAAGCAAATACAACAATGTAAACATGAAGTGGATTGCACACATGGATAGTCGGAGGTTTGCTAGTACTAGATACTACATCATGAAAACTGTTATTTTGCTTTGTTGTGGTGTTGCTATTGATAACTTACTTTGAAAAGTCCATATTTATATCATTTAAGGGTCAAAGAAAGGGTGGCAAATACTAGGAACAAGATTTTGGTTGTTCATTATTTTACCTTGTTGTTAATGTAGTCCATGTCTAGATCAGCTTTCTTCGCCCATTTTTGCCAGAAATCTGGATCATCAATATCGATGTCTTCTTCTCCTCTGTTTGACACAAAACTTGCCTATTAAAACAACATGAAACAAAAATGAGTCATGGAAAAAATAAGTTTATGATTACTGTAGTTCTTTATCCACAAGTCAGAATGAACAGCCTCATAATAAGTAAGAGTTGTCAACAGCTTATTCAGAATGTGAACAGCTTGATTTTGAATCACTGGCTGTCTACTCAAAATATTCCAAGAATCAACAAAATTTAAAAGGTTCTGGGGAATTACTAGTCAATATTCATGTTTGAAGGGCAACTTTTGTACTGCCACTTTTCCAATTTTATTGAATTTTATTGAAATATTTGCAAACATTATATAATGAAAATATAAAAATATAAAAAGTGGCCCACTTTTTGTGTTGATTTGAGTGGGGAGGAACTTTTGACACCTTGGGAGACAACTTATGGAGGGCTATAAGTTAGATAAATCACTATTGTGTCTTCCTCTTCAAATAAAGTTTATCCTGGCATATTGTAACAAACAAATTCTTCTCATGCATTATGGGAGGTCTGACGATTAAACAACCAAACACAGACTGACAACAGACACCACCACACCTTCTGAGCCACTTGTTTTGTTGCTTTGCTTTCAAAGGAGGCTGACACTAACCTTTGCAAAAGTAGATCCCTTTCCTTCAGATTCTAACTGGATGATCTGAGTTCTTCTTTCTAAGATCTGATCAATATCCTCCTCACAAAACCTGAAAAGAAAAACCAGGTGTGAAAAAGGGCAGTTTGCAGCTAAGGCCCAGTTCACATGGCAACATAAGCATAAACCTAAGCAAAGCATAAGCATAAGCATAACAATGGAAACTTTTCCATTCTTATGATTTTGCTAATGTTATGTCACTTGTGTGACCTGAAGAAACATATGCTTATGTCACTAGTGTTGACCAGTCTTATATTATAAAGCACTACACAACTGAGTCAACATATGTTGCTCATGTTCATGCTTGTGTTTGAAGTAAAACCAGGTCTAAGAAGAGTTTCCTTGAGAAAAACTTACTTAGCTCCATCATCACTGTCTTCTTCCATGATAGCACCATATGCTCCTTTTTTCAACAAGTCTTCAATCTCTTTCTTAGACATTGAGCCCTAAAAAATACACAATTTATTGTATAACTATCACTCTGAACCAAATTACAATGTAACACTGGATAAAGGTGTGGTAATACAGGCAGCAAAATCATGCAATTATTGTACAACATTGTTGCATTACAATTTGCAATGCAACAATGTTGGGTGAGAATTTGTACAATTTTGTTGTTTATATTACCACACCTTAATCACTGTAGGGAAGGTTAAATGTTTGATAAAAATATACTTTGTTGGGTTCATTTTAACAAATATGAACAGTGTTAGATTTGAAAAGGCAAACAAGATTACAAAACCCTTAACAAAATAAAGACCCCACCCGTCCCCCACCCCACCCCAAAAGGAGCATGTCATTGCCAGATGAAATTCAGTTTCAGTTTGAGCAGGAAGCATCCAATATTGATGGTTTGCAAGGATTCCCAAGAAGACATGGCAGCTATGTTGGTGGTATTAGCAATGGAAGCTTATGGGAAATCTTTTGTTAAATACAGACAAACATAGTCATGATTTTTTAATGTGGAAACCAAACATAAGAACATCATTATACATCATTATATTTTTAAGGATGTAGATACCGTGTCTAAATATTCAAGCAGAAAACACTGTGTTATGGTGCAAAGCCTCTATTAATGAAAATCTGTCAAATTTATTATGTGGTATATATCCCATCAGAAGGAAGGCAGCATGGAGTAATCTCATCAAAATAATCAGATGAATTAGATCCATGACATTCATCATCTGGGATTCATACATCTTAACCCACCCACCCCTCCCTAGGATGCTTCAAGGTGGATCAATCACCTTGCAAGCTAATATTTTTAAGAGAGACAAATGACAAAAATTATGGCAGCCACAGTCTTAATAGGGACATTTAGATCCARTAGACCTTTCCCRAATTCCCTTGGATGACCACGAAACAATGGTTTGAAGTCGAGACTGAACTTGATTCTTTTATTCATTATTTGAATTTGGGAAAGGCCTATTACGAGTACAAGAATRAGTATGAATACAAGTTGGAAAAAAAAAATCAATAGTGCCAATCTTGAAAATTTTAAAAATTGTACCAGTACTTGTTTTCATACTCATAATGTCCTAATGTGGAAACCAAGAATAAGAAAAAGATTGGACCATGTTGTACAACACAGCACCAAATAATGTAGAATATAAACTTACATTGCTGCTAGCATTTTCCTTAGTGTTCATGGACTGCAATACAGCCTTATCTAGACCAAGCTTCAGACTTGCCCTGTCAAACATCTCCCTCTCATAAGAGTTCCTTGTTATAAGTCGATAGACCTTCACCGATTTGTTTTGACCAATCCTGTGACATCTTGCTTGGGCCTGAAGATCATTCTGTGGGTTCCAATCGGAGTCAAAGATAATGACAGTATCAGCAGCGGTAAGGTTAATACCAAGGCCACCTGCCCTAGTGCACAGTAGGAAAACAAAGCGGTCTGAATCTGGCTTTGAAAATCTATCAATAGCAGCTTGTCGCAAGTTCCCCCTGACACGCCCATCTATCCTCTCATAGGGGTACTTCATGTGTACTAGGTAGTCTTCTAGAATATCAAGGCATCGGACCATCTGTGAAAACACCAGCACCTTGTGGCCTCCTATTTTCAACTTTGGAAGGAGTTTGTGGATCAGCACTAGTTTTCCGGAGGCTTCTATCATGGCATACATGTGTTTGTCAAGCCTGTTGTTAGTATACTCTGACATGATTTTGTCTTCTGCTCCATCAATAAGGAAAGGATGATTGCAACACTTTCTCAGTTCCATCATGGTATTCATAAGGTTTGGGACATTGGCTGTAGAGCCTGCACCTCTGGACAAGAAGGCAAAGTTTCGTTCGATGATGGCTCTGTAAAATTTCTTTTGCACGGTTGTCAGTTCAACCTGTTTTAATAACAAATAAAGCAAAGTGGATGAGACAAATGTGAACAAAAGGTAAAATTAATTGAATACTTATTTTAATCTTTAAAGGCTTAGCACCATCATGTGATGGCAGCCATGACAGAAGGCATAACAATAAAACCTTTTTTTCATGTGAAACTGAATTCTTTCTCATATAAACCACATTAGACCAGATTCAATTGTTTATGCCTCCTGTCATGGCTGCCATCATGTGATGGTGCAAAGTGTGTATAAAGCAAAATCCATGATGAGTCAAATGAATTATGTGGTATATATCCCATCAGTAGGAAGGCAGCATGGAATAATCTCATCAAAAAAAATCAGATGAATAAGATCCATGACATTCATCATCTGGGATTCATACCACTTCTTAACCCACCCACCCCTCCCTAGCACGCTTCCACGGTGGATCAATAAGAAAAGCCTTTCTGTTACTCACCTCAATGATGGTCTCCTCTTTTGGTGCAATGTTCTTCTCAACATCTTCCTTCAATCTTCTTAACATCATTGGCTTCAACAGCTATCATGAGACAGACATATTTTAAATGATATTCTAAACGTTATTCAGGAAGCTTCAAAGGTTGTTCTCAAGGTTCCCTGGTATGTTTTACTATTTATTTTAAACAAATCACACATGGAAGTATGATAAATATACACATAGAAATTGTAAAAAAGGGTAAAATATTTTGTCAAAAGTGTAAAATATTATTTTACATCCAAAAGCTATTATTACACTTCTCTTTGTTTATCACTGGTTTTTACCTGTTTGAGTTTTTCTACTTGTCCCTCAGTTCTCAAGTTGCCAAACTCCATCAAGAAAGCTTCTTGACAAGGAAACTGAGCTGGCTCTAGGAAGTTGAGTAAGCTGAACAGTTCATCTACATTGTTTTGTAGAGGGGTTCCTGTCAAGAGTATTCTGTGTTCCTGGAAATAAAACAAAAGTTGTCAGATACATTGTACCACATTTTAGAAAAGTAACAGTACCTCAGACATCTCTAAGTCATAGATCCCTTTCAAAACTATCTYGGATTTAAGGCTTAATTGAAAATATAAAAGAAATCACACTTTTTAACACTTTTTGGGTACAATAAGCCTATGGATGAAAAGGAGTAACATAACATGCATAATACAATGCTGTTTGTTAGCTGGAAAATCATTTGGATTAATTTTCAACTCTCTGATAAAGTTGTGTCTGTATTTCTACTATTAAGGAGAGAATTTCACCAGGCAGGAGGCCTAAGCTTAAGCTATACACAGTATGGACCCCTTGCAGCATGTCGGAATTCAGCTCAACTTGGAGGACATAACAGAATAGGTTTACAATTCTCAGAAGATGGAAGTTATTTTGTTATGTCCTTCAAATTGAGCTGCTTTGATGTCACCTACAAGTGGTCTATAAAATCGTTCTATTATGTCACAGCTTATTTTTAACTATTAAAATGACTTTCATTGAATGGTATCCATGAGTACACCTAGGACCCTTTTGATCCTTGATAGAATGTGTGCCTTTCTTTTGTTTTTTTTTTTCCATGTTAGCCTTGCATCCAAGATACTTTTGAAAGGGGTATATACTGAAAATATCCCATCAGTAGGAAGGCAGCATGGAGTAATCTCATCAAAATAATCAGATGAATTAGATCCATGACATTCATCATCTGGGATTAATACCCACCCACCCACCCCTCCCTATGTCTTGATACTATTACTAATAGAATCTTTTTCAAATTCTTTTCCTTATTTATGTGTTTGGGAGTTGCGAGGTGATAAAGGACTGTTCATAATCCAGAAATTATAAACGATCCCTAATAGACCTCTTTATGTCAGGTGTATTTGTTTTCCCATTTCAGACCATGTGTCATTTTCTTGAGAATAAGATTCTTTGCTTGAATATATCCATATTAAGTATCTTATCATGCGCAACTGTTAAACAAAGAGATGATGCTCTAGGGAATGACAGTCTGAAATGGGGAAACATTATGCCCAAGGTAGAGAGATCTATAAACCCCTTGCATTGAATTCCTATAGGAATTGTTCTGGGGGACAAAACAATAGGCTGTCTTTTCTTATGCAAAAAAATCCATTGTTTTTTCCTCAGAACAATTCTTCGAGGGACTCAGTGCAAGGGGTCTATTAAGCCAAAAGAATCACACAAAAAAAATCTGAAAGTAGTGGAACCAAGAAATAATACAAAGAATGAAGAAGAATTTATCAACAGACACAACTCACCATTTTCAAGTTGTTTAGTCCTTCCAACAGCTTACAGTTCCTGTTCTTTAATCGATGTGCTTCATCTATGATAACAGCTCTCCATGGTACAGTACTCAACTGAATGTTATCAGCTGTACATCAAGAACAACCCAGGGTAGTTAGAAAAACAATGCTTTAGACATATAAGGCATTCTGAGATTGGGGAAAAAGCTGTGTTGAGTTGGCATCCCATTACATTTTGGGGCAGTTTTAGGGAACAAAATAGCCACCATCTTGGAAATATGTCCCTAAAACAGCCCCAAAATGCACTGCAATGTCAACTTAACCCAATTTTTTCCTAGACCTTGGAACTTGACCCAGTTTTTTTCTCAACCAATATTTGCAGAGATCTGTGATCTACCACAGGTAACCCAAACTAACTAGAAAAACCTAAAGTGTGCAATTGTTATGGACCTTAAACACATTGCGCCATGTTTATTCCCAATAAAAGCCTTTGTTTAAACACACATAACCTCATCCTGAAGCACTTTAATATACGGTCATGCAGAGGGAAAATCTATTGTTCTAGTCCAGATGGCTGCTTCATAATAAGTGTCCATCAAAGGAGCAAAATCTAGGATTTTGACTTAGGGGTTCACTAAGGGCACAAATGGTGGAAGTACTAAAGGTGCAGGTATTAAGGGAGTCTAGAGACATGATTGCTGGAAGCTGGAAAAGCTATTTCCAGCATTTTCAATGCATTTCTGGAAAGGGAAAGGGTGCTGTTGGTTATGCTTACTGACCCTCCCAAAAAATCCACTGCTTTGAAATAAAAAGATATTTGAATCTCTTTGGTGCCATTCCTTGAGATAAATTTAAGCCTATCCATTTGTTTTTAATCCATGGGAATAAAAAAAGAAAACTTTGCCAACCACCACATGTCCTTAGCTYAGCTAAGCTTAGTTCAACTCATAATAGCTTACCTATTATAATTTCATATGTTGTTACAAGGACATTAAATTTGAAAATTCCAGGTACAGGATGACCCTGAAAAACAACACAAGTGAGAATTTGTTAAGCATTAACAAGCAAAGTAAAATAAAACAAAATAATAAAGTAAAATAATAAAATAAAGCAAAACAAAACGATACTTACATGTTCCTCTCTGTAATAGAACTCATACTCTTGGATCAAGTGTCTACTTGAAGCACTGTTAAAAAARATATAAATTTTATATAAAGACATGTTATACATATCAGATGCAACAGATACAAAAGAAACGACAAGAATTTCATCAAGAAAAAGCGAGATTTGTTTTGTGTTTCCATGTTAGCCTTGCATGCAAAATAATTTTGAGAATAGTCCATTACCTTCCATGATAGACTACAACATTCATTTCACTCCAAGATTCAAACTCTCTTTGCCAGTTAGATATCGTTGATAATGGAGCTATTACTAGCAATGGGCCACGTATACCAAATCTCTGCACAACAAAAATACAACAGAATGTTAGTGTCTGTTAATGAACCAACATAGAGTTGACAGAATTTGATTATATATCTATTTTGGTAACTAAATTCATCAAAACAATTTTTAGAAGTGCTCGCCTAACGCCAATGAAACCATTGGTTTCGAAAAGYTTAAGCAGTCAGAAAGCTTAGTCATTGTTAATTTAAAACTTTTATGATTTCTGCTGAAGTGACATTGTGTAGTTCCAAAAATTATCCATACCCCCCTCACGGAGGAATCTTTTTAAGACACCTCCCCTACCCCCCGGAAATATCAATTTTCTTCCATACAAACTCTGTAATTTTTGCTCTTTCTCTGACTCCCCTACTCTTGGGAAATTCCAAATTCCTCTGTGGGGTGGGTATGGATGATTTCTGGAACTACACATTAGGCTTTAGGAGGCTTCCCAGCAAAATACATTCTAGAATTTTAGTTAAATTTAACATATTATACCTGCATCTCACAGCAGAAAGCTATGGACTGAATAGTTTTGCCCAAACCCATCTCATCAGCAAGGATAGAATTTTGTCTGAAAAGAGTAAATATTTAATTAGTTCAATAGTCCCCTTCACAGTTCCCTGCGCTATCTTAAAAGGTATCCATGCYTTTGCATCCAMGTAAGACGAACTGTGAGCTTGCAATGATAGAGACTTTTTTAACACCTTGAAAAATTATTCACATGTCTCTATCATTGCAAGCTCACCRTTTGTCTCACTTGGATGCAAAGGCACAGCTACCTTTCAAGATGGCACAGGGAACTGTGAAGGGGACTATTTATAAACATGATAAAAAATTGTAGCACATGTTGCTTTTGAGTGTTAAGTTTTTGCATTGATATCTAAATTAAAAAATAGGAGTCCACCCCAAATATGTGTTGGGAAAAAAATTCATTTAATAGACATAATCTATTTGCATACATCTCTTATAAATGACTGTCTTTTTTGCAACCTTTGTTGTATCATCATATCATGTGGAGCCAATACATCTAGTCAAACTAGGGTTGCAAGCAATTTTTTGGTTCACTAGTAGCGTGAGTTTATAATTTACATGGACACATTATTCATAAGGCACWTTTTTTTTCTTTTCGTAATGCACAAAAGAGGAAGCAAAGGCATAGGTTCTGAAGTAGGGAAAAGTTACACCCAAACATATCAGCTTGAAGGCTAATATGACATGACAGACAAGAAGCAGGGAAGGTGTGCACACCTAGTGTGGCCCCTCTCACCAATGTGACCCGCATTTGAATCCCAGGCTCAGTATCATATACAAGTAGAGTTGTTTGGTTCTCTCCTATTCTTGAGAGTTTTTTTCTAGGTTCTTTGATTTTCTTCCCTTTTAAAAAATTATCTGCTAAATTCTAATTCGATCTTTGGGTTACACCTAGTTGTAGCCTAGTTCTGTTGTCATTGTCCCATGCTGTGACACAACAGCACAAGCTTAATAGATTTTAGATTTTAAGAAAGATACCTGTTACACCAACAGAATGACAGCCAGTTGACTCCCTCCAACTGGTACTCTCTCAAAGTGTTGCTTTCTTTATAGACAGGAGAAGCCTCTAGCCTTATCCACTCATGTGGGTGTGGACGAGGACGAAACTGAAACAAAGACAATGATAAGGAATGTCAAAGTCACGTGATAATTTAACCTTTAAATGTTTCACTCTTATGGTAGTCTAGCCTTCTACCCAGATATTCTTAGTGTCTGTCACATAACACTTTCCTCCCTACCAACGTCTGCTTACTTGAGGAGAACATTCCTTTCCAAAGTGACAAATTATTAGACGTTCATGGGCAAGGAAACATTGCTTGACAGACCCTAAGGAAGTCTTCAGAGGCTAATGATCATCTTGATCAAAATAGAAGTCTAATGATACAACTATGCTACCACTATTTACGTTGCTATAAAAAAATTGAGACAAAAGCCTGCTACCATGGATCTAACAAATAAATCATTCCCATGCACGTTTATACAGTTCTAGGTCCCAACAATTAGCTTTCACCATATGATACAGTATATTTGCTTGAATGACCAAAAACAATGGTTTAAAGTTTAGATTGGACTGCTATTTTCATAACCATGCGAACTTGGTAGCTGCAAATTTAGTTTTGATTGACAGCAGCGAAAAGCCAAAGCCAAGCTAACACCGGGTTCGCATGTTTATAAAAATAGCAGTCCAACCTCAACTTAAACCATTGTTTCCTGATGAGTCAAGCAAATTCAAGAAAGGTCTATTCCAAAACTCAGAGGACAGAAAATTATCATAATAATTACCATAGTTGGAAAAAGCTTGATAAAATAATATAAAACTGTGAAATATGAAGGATTTAAATTCAAAAATTGCAAAAATATAAATTTTTGAAAATCAAAATCTGTATGAAAAGAATTTCATTAGAGGCATTTCTCTTGCCCCCAGCAAAGGTTTTSTTACAAAATTCATGCTTTCTCAAAAATCATAACTTTATATTTTTTCAACTTATTTCCTTCAAATTTCACTGTTTTACTGATTTTAACATGTCCTTTTCCTTTTTGTGATTATTTTTCCATTTTGCTAATTTAAAAATACCTCTGATAAAAGCTCATTTTTAATCATTTATTTGAATAATGGTATTCTACTGCCCATTAATCAAATTTATTTATTCACATATCTTTTAATTGCTACAACTGTTTGTTGACTTGCTATTTTTCCAGAAAATAACTGATGAAATTGCTYTTGTTTTATTATAGTGTATAGAAAGACTGGAGTCTTTCCCGTAGCTGTCCTTGTTTGCTGACTTGCTAGTCTTTTAGAAAATAACCAATGAAATTCCTTTTGTTTTATTATAGTGTATAGAAAGACTGGAGTCTTTCCCGTAGCTGTCTTTGTTTGCTGACTTGCTAGTYTTTTAGAAAATAACCAATGAAATTATTTTTCTTTTATTATAGTCTATAGGAAGAYGAGTGTTTTCCCTGTCTGCGTCTTGAAAGACCAGCCATGATGTAGCAAGAGTGTTTAGCATATCAATCAGCCATGTCTTTCAAATTAAAATTGAATCTTATTCAACAATAGCAGCATGACATGCAACGCAGACAAGCTTGTGGCGCTCTTTGTTATCCTAAGACATATTTTCTAAACACAACCCTTACAAGAAACACAAAGATCATGTAAAGAATTTCCCGAAACTGTAGTACATTGAATATACCAACCCATGTGTGCACTTTTTAATGGACTTTAAAGGTAACAAGCTCAAGGAATGGTTTTACAAAGCTCTATATGAATCAACTAATTTAAAGACAACCTCAATTTAAGGTAAGTCCTAATGTGGACTCTGATGACTTCAAAACATGAGTTTTCTCTCAAGTTATTTTTCTTGTGCTCTAATATTAAATACAAACACAAAGGTATTTCTAGGAGATTTTTTACCTGTCTCAAATGCATTGGTGGCAATTCCTGTAGATCATAGAATGCTTGTATTTTGGATTCATCAACATCAGCCTGATATATCAAAAAAGATCAGTTCTTTAATATTAAACATATCTTACAATAATAACCGATAAATTGTATAATACAAAACATGGTGATGAAAAACATTAAATTCATTTTTACATAGGCATTTGCTAGCTATAAAAATATATTATTTAACACTCTTATTGTATTGTATTAATTATCCTATTATTTAGCACTAATATTGTATAAAAATTACAAATTCAAAATATTTGATCAAGATCCCAGACCCATTTTACCAAAGATATAAAATTAGTCCAGTTCTTAACAGATTTAAAGCAAATGTTCCAGAAATTAACAGCTAAGAAACGAATCCATAAACTCTAGAATCAAGACAGTAATTTATTGATATAACTTTCAGTACAACTGAGCAGTGCCGTAAATAGTGAAAAAATAATTTCTAAAACCTAGTAAAACAATTAGCAAGTTTTAAAGAAAAATTATAAGATAACGTTTTTTAATGTCATAAATAGCAAGTGCTAACCAAAAAAAAAAAGAATAAAATTCCAATTATTTGTAGTTACCACCTTCTAAAGGTAGAGAGAAAAATGTGCCTCAAATAAAAACTCTTTTAGATGCTTGGACAGAAACAGGTAGGTCATTAAACAGCAATTGGTAATTAAATTTAAAAAGGTAGGTAGGTAGGTGGGTAGGTAGGTGGGTAGGTGGGTGGATGGAGAGGTGGGTGGGTGGGTAGGTAGGTTGGGAGGTAGGTGGGTGGGTAGGTAGGTGGGTAGGTGGGTAATAATGACATTATTTCTCTTTCCCAATAGACTAATTTGTGGTAATGTTTTCCCATTTCAGACCATGTGTCATTCCCAAGAACATAACTTCTTTGATTAATGGTTGTGCATAAGAAGACACATGAAAATGGAATAAACTCAAACAAAGAATATTATCCTCAAGGGAATGAACTTGGTCTGAAATGAGAAAACTTTGCCCTTAGCGAACTAGATCTATACCTTATTAGTCAAATCCAACTAGCAGTCTATCATCAATGCTGCATTCTGATTGGATGAGCTACTATTAGGCTATTAGTTAATTTCAATGTCATGGTAATTTGGTTAAAACTCACCTCAATCTCCCAGGTACTTTCCTCATAAGGAAGGGAACGCCATTTTACCAAAAAATGTGTTACTGGCTAAAATGGGAATAAGAAAAATTAAGGGTTAGCAAAATGATTAACAATGCCTAATTATGAAAGTAGTTTTTTATACACTAAAACGAGAGGAAAGAACAATTAAGACAAAGAGTATTCTTAAAATAAAAAAAGTGAAAAGATACATTGTTTCTATCTAGGTGCAAAAACCAGACACCAAAACAATTTCTAACTGGCTTCTGAATCTTGTTTGTCTGCTAAAATGTCAGATCAATTAATCTCTGACCTCAGGTTTTGAGCTCACAGTCACAACAATTAGATTAGCTCAGGAAGTCCAACAATTTTTTTACATAAAACTCTTGGAAAATAAGGAATCTTAATTACAATGAAGGAACTATTCTAAAGGAAGCATGGGATAGATTTTCTTTAATATCATCAGACAAGGGTGTCAAATCTATGATGAAATTTGCTCAGTTAATGAAAATGTCTGACTGAGAAAGTTACCATTAACGATTGATGATAAAAAGCAATGTTTAAAAAAACCTTTTAAAATACTATATAGCTCGTATAAATTGCTGTTTCTAATTTCTATGAAAAATTACAGTTAAGGCCACCATTTTATGTAAAGCAAATTCTTCAGATTATCCATGTCATTTTGATCAAGACTCTAGTGGATTTGAAAGTTCATTTAATTGCTTTTAAAAAATAAGTTGTCTCAAAAATTAACCATTTAATCTTCATATTCATTTTTTTTGTTTACATCTTTATTAACGTGTTCCAAACATTTTTGTGTAATAACTAATTATAAAATGTTATTTGAAGGAAATATTTTTCATCAATTTATGTCCACTTCTAAGGAAACACAAAGAAAAGTCATATTAAATTTCTCAAATTACACATTATCGTGAAGGAATCAAAACTCATTTAAAATTGAAGACATTGAAAGAATCTTAATAGGAATATCACATAACCTATCAAAACATTTTTTCCTTGAGCCAAAAAAGTATTTATAACCAGTATTTCTATCCTTAGTAAGGTATTTAAATGCTTAATTAAAATGCATTAATAGATTGGGTCTTATCCTCTGGTTATATTGATTGACTGTCAAATTTTTAAACGGAAGCCGACAACACAAAGAGACATACCACATGTTACAAAATTAACTTAAAATCACGAAAATTTTGGAATCAATTTTTTGAGGAATCACTTTGTAAATGATATGAGGATAATGATATTTCACTGAGTAGGTGTCAATAGAGTAGGTCATCTTTGAAGATTTTTTTTATTACCAAGCAGTTTGAAATAAATTTACTGTTGATTAATCCAGACAGCCACCCCAATGTTGATCAGAAATGTCAATTTAGACACTCTGATGCACAATAGCTGCCACCTGTCAAAGTTTTTGACGTCCATACAGAAATTAGAAGGCAAAGAGGAACAGCGGTAGACAGTCATTAATTGAAACAGACCCAAGATATCAAACAAGCTTCTAAGGACAAATCCACAAACAACATTAATGCACTGCTAGCGCTGACAACATTGGTCCCAAAAGTGTCGAAATCGTACTTGGCTAGAATGACAGTATTGCTCTTAAAGCCGACTGGAAGACAAGCTATGGGAACAAGAATGCRTGCCTGTTCAAAGGTGAAAAGGTAAGCTTAATTTAAATCTTAAAAGACCATCGCATGATTTTTGTGTTGAATCTGTGCCTTAAAAACCAGAACTAAAGAGATAAATGAGAACGTACTGTTCATTCGGCTATTATGAGAAAACACTGTGTTTTGGGACAAAATCTTGAAATGTATACTACATTTAGTTGCATAAATGATTCATAGAAAAAGAAATAAAAAAAGCAATAGAAATGATTTCTTCAAATCAGCAGAAATGCAAAAATCAGAAGGAATCAAAATCTCATAACACCTGCGTCTGAATCAGCAAGAAAAAAATATCAAACCCTAGACTATTACTTCACAAATACAGCACAAATAGAAACAGAAAAAATAACAAAAATATTTATAACATCACCAAAACCTTAGAAACGAAAGTAAATACCAGAAAATAAAAAATATTGCTAGGGGTTTGACTGAGAAAATGTCCAAGATATTAATAATTCATGTTTTTTAAAAAAAGACAAGATGATTTGCATTTTTTACAGACATGAAAATTATTTGTTGACAGATACAAAAAAGCAATTGTTAGCTTTTAAGATATTCAAAGTTTGACAACACATGAGTGGTTTGCATAAAACATTTGTCTTGGGGTTAAAGATCTGTCCGAAAACCACTAAAAATAACGTAACTATACCTACAGTTGAGATATATATTACTGAAGTGTTGACAAAGAGTAAAAAACATCGCAGATTAAATACCACTACAGTAATTGAATACACTTAATTAGATTCTTAGACAGCATTTGATTTCTGAAAGCAATCATACTTTAATCATTAACCAGAAAAAAATTCTTGTTAAATAAAATTGATAAAGATTCTCAAAAAAATAAAAAATCTAGGAGTGCTTTTTGATTGCCTCTAAGTAGCATATTAAAATCTTCAGACAGAAGCCTCATTAAATATTAAAGTGATCCTGTTACAACTGATGCAATGCTAAGGATTAAATAGAATTGCTATTTTTGTTTGGTTTGGTAATATTTACTGAGAAAATGATAAATGTAGGGATTCAAGAAACTGTAGCAGTATATAAATTAGAAGAACCTTTTAYGTAATAAAAACATGTAAAAATTCACAACGATAAGATGGAATTGAGAATGTAGAAGCTACTGCATATTAATAGCACAGTAGAATTTTTAGATTATTGACATTCTATCATGAAGACAATTCTCTAGTAAGCTGAAGCACTTAAGGTTTACCTTCAAATCACACAAAGTTTTCTCCTTTAGGTAATTCATAGCATAGTAGAAAGTAATCTGGTTTTTTTAAAATCTTTTAATAGATACTTTATTTAAAGCAACATTTTATAATCTTAATTATGTAGACTCAGTATTTCTTGATAATTTTAACAATTGTTAACAATTCCTTGAAATTGAACATTGCTTTATTTTTTGATATCGAAAGTACTTTAGGCCCATTTACATGAAGCTAGGGTACCCTGGTGCAAGGGAAATGTTTTTTCCCCTTTACAATGGAGCACTGAAAACAAGAGTTATGTTTAGCATAAGGGTGACTATACAGTTACCTAGCACCTTGTTGTATGTGTATGAGACTAAAATATGATGGGGGGCTTCCAGAGTTAGCTTTTTTGTTTCAATTTCCCAGGGGGCCTAAAAACAAAAGCATTTGTCCAAGCATTTGGATGACTCTACCACCATGTAAAGCAGTTTTTGCATGAGAAGATAATAATAAAACAAATTTGTATTTGTACTGCAACCATAACATAGCTGTATCTATGCTTTGTTGCTGAATGAATTTCTAGAAAACAATGGGAAGCCATTTTGATGTTAAGGCATATCATACTGTGCACATACTGAGAGCAATTATTGCATGTTTCCCATCATATGATAACTGCTCTAATGGAGTTTGCTAGTTACCTAGCACCTAAGGGCATAATATGAAACTATCACACAGTGCTTTATCACTTTGTTAAGTAAACAAACCTCATAAAACAAATAACTGTTAGGGATTAATCTAATCTTTATCATGTAAACTGACTTAATATTATTCATGACACTTTATTGTGACTATATCTAGACCACCATTATTGTATAATTACTATAATAATTTTGTAGAACATCCATTTGAGTGACAATAACAGAAAATCATTAATTCAGAACTGTCAGGCAAAGACCTTAGATATTAGACTAACACTAGACATGATTTATTGCTGTCAAATTTTACGTAAGCCATTAATAATCTAATTAAAGGGTGTCACACAAGAAGTTCTTAAATATGTATTGTATATCATGACACTTATTCAATGTCAGTAAGACAGCTGCTTGACTTACAAGTGGTAGACAATACCAAGAGTCTTGAAAATCTAAGATATTTGAATAGCTGAGACTTAAAAAATCAATATTTGAATTGAGAGTTGTATGCATAAAATGTTAATTTAATGTAGTGGTAGTGTGTGTGTGAGAATGAGAGTGGCCGAATAGGAAACCAGTATATATTTTTGTATAAAAAAGTGATTTATTTATGAACTATTAATGCCATAATTTATGTGAGTTTTACAGTTTAATTAATCTAGAATATTAATAGCTATAATAATTCACAGTAAATTAACTTAAGTTCTGCATCGAAATGCTTAAACAAGAGCAAATGCATGTCTATGTAAGATAACAAACCAAATGAAAATCTGACCCATGACAGACCAAATGAATGTTTTAGGAATACCACAGCATGCATGGAAAAACAAATTTATGTAGAAAAACAGACCAAATGAAAAATATAGGAATACTACAGCATGTAAAGAAATGTCTATGTAGAATAACGAACCAAATGAAAATCTGGCCTATAAGGTAGCTTGACTGGGTTTTTGTTTGTGGAATACCTTCAATGTTTAATTGGGAAATGCATCACCAACAAGTTAATTTCAAAATATTGTTAACAATTTTCTACCTTAGAAATTGACCAAATGAAAATAAAGATACTCCATAGCATAAAAAGGAAGAAAAGCTTTATGTAGTATGGATGACCAATGAAGACCAGATCTGTCCCTACCTCTCCTGAATGTTGATCCACGCCAGTAGATACATCCAGTACTCTGTCAACTTCCACATAATCTGGGTTGAATGGTTCTTCTTCCATCTAGAATAGGATAGAGTTTACCATCAAACACAAAATTCAAACTAATGGACAACTGGTCATCTTTTACGAAATTTTGAAGACACTGATGTTTTTTTTTGTTTGGGGGTAGAGGGGAGGGGGAGAGGGGAGGGCAAAAATGTACAGTTGTGTTTCTTCAAAGAATCAAGAATTCAATGACAATCATAGTTTTTCAATTTCATGATTTTTAATTTTTTTAGATTTTTGAGTTTGTGTGTTGGTACTATATAAATATATATATACATAAATTTATAAAATATTTAAAATATAATATTTATCTTTCTGTATATTTAAAATATAACTTGCATGCTGATTGGCTGGCTACCGTGTTTATATCAAAGGACAGAGACAGTGCAAAGTTGCCCCAAAATATTTTATAAAAGCATTATAAAACAGCTGCTTATGTTTATGTATTGTGATATAAACACCTTGGATATACCAGGTCACATTGGTGAGATGCAAAGCCTCTCACCGCTACGTCGCCAATGCTTCCCAATCGTGAAATAATGCACTCATTTGAACACTTCTTAAAAGGACCCCTTATCACTGGATTACTCTGTAGTGCAGGGGTGGAGACAAGTTTATGGAATTCAGGAGTTCAAATGATGGCCAGTCAAACACTGTTCATGATGACTGGCCAAATTACTTTTAACTCACTCTAACTTTATTTCTAGCTCAATGTTACTGGTCAAAATGACTAGCAAGACACATATTTGACCAGACAAGTTAAAATTCTGGCCGGACATTTTAAGCTCTGGCAGGCCAAATTAGTTTAGATATTTTAAGCTTTGAAGGTTATAGGTTCCTATGAATTTATATCTGAATACTATAATTATTTCTTTAATTATCCCCTTGAAAAAGTGTTCAATTTCAAGTATACACTCACCTCTTGAAAAAAAGGAGACATATTCTGCTGTTTTATCTTGAATCGTTTGATTTTCATCTGAATTCGTTTATCAGCCCTAGCCAGCTTCTCAACTGTAGCCCATTCCGCATGTAAGTAAGAACTACAAATTAAAATTACAAAATTGGTTAGAAAGGCCCTAAATTGGTGTATTTTACGGTGAATTTAATATGACTTGACCAAGGTGAACAAAACTCGACTTAAATAAAGCATTTTTCTCACAATAAACACCTTACAAATTTTAAAAAATTATTGAAAAATAAAAGGAGCATAACTCAAAATGAATCTAATCCCTCAATAATATTTGAAATTTCCATGAAGGGGCCAAAAGAAAACAAACTCAGGCCATGTGCATTATAAGTTGCTTGGGTAAAAAAGCAAGTCAAAAATCCAGCACGTGAAAAATTTGTATCTAATAACACAACCTATGTGTGAGATAACCTGTGTGTTTGTGATAGACATTTTGTATAAAATACTTAGCCTCATGTAAGGTCAAATATCTTTTAGATATACCATAGATTTGAATCACTGACAAAATTGTTTTCAATACTAGGAAAGTAAGAATTGAAATAGGCATTGAAAATCTGCTACTAGATTATGCAACAAACTGTGAAAACCATTATTTATCTTTGGCAAGTTTGGTTTTCCATTTTCTAGAAAATCAATCATAAGACAACAATACTAAAATTACAATAAYGAGTACAAAATATCAAACTTACTAATTTTTGTATTTGACTAAAAATTCTTCCACTTGCGTGCCTTCTTGGCCATCAACTCCCTAATTTAATGATAAAAAACCAATAAAAGTAGAAATTAGATACACCAGCACCTATTATACTGTTTTATGATAATCATCGCTAATTGATAGGCCACTAGCAATTAGAACTCACTTTGTATTTCAACAAGTTGGTGATAAGTATATCACTTTTTTTATCAAAGTGTCTTGAMATCTTCAATATGGATTTATCAGGCTAAGATAGCTGCATCTATTAAAGCTACATTAATAGGGAGCTTTTCTGCTGATATTTTTATTTATATAATCTGTAGCTATCTGTAGATCTAAGATAAAGTGCCTACTTCAAAGCAATCTCATCTACTTTTTTGATAATATAAATTGATAATATTATTACTTTACCTTGACTTCTCTAAGTCTCTTAGCTAAAATTTTTTCTACTATCATTGTTTCTTCAAACTCTTCCACAACTGGCGGAGGAGCTCTTTCTCCAACAACATCTGGTATAGGGGCTGGCTGACCTTTCACATTCTTTTCTCTATCACCTCCATCATCGTCAGACAAGTTATAATCAAAGTCGTCCTTGTAAGTCTTCTTTTTCCTTTCACGTAAGGACCTCCGCTATATAACAAAGAAATAAAGTTGTAGTTCAGAAATTTCAGAGCCATTCACAAAGTTTGATAAAGATTAAGAGGTTTTTGAGAATACATTTTGGTTTTAAGAAGAGAGATTATGATCTCCGAAGCAATATAACTAATTCTTTACACATAGACAGACGCGGACTTCAAATAAAAGCTTTGTTTAAACAAAAATGTTGATTTAAAGATAAACTTCTAACCCTGAAGACAAACTTTGTAAGCCATATAGTAAAAATATCATTTGTTTAAACACCCAAGCACATGTGAATCAACTGAAGCATTTAAGGAAGGTCTTTTAATTGGAATTAATTTTGGGAAGTAGAGTTCATGGTTGAAATAATATTGGAGCTAAAGAAATGAAGTTGAGATGATGAAAAAACTATAAGTTTATAAAACGTAGCCACGAGAGTGTGAAATCAAAGAAGTCAACATTGACCTTAATTATGCATCACGATAAAGTCATTAAACAAAACACGTGTTAAGTGCCAGACAAGTCAATTTAGAAGAGATTTTAGCATTTTAGCTTTGTTGTGATATGCTGATTTGAACAAGAGTAATAAAGTACATAAATCATCAATCACTCAACACTTCTTACCGTAATACTTGAACCTTGTTCATCTTCGTAACCATAACTTGGTGATGATGGTGGTGATGGTTCACAATCTGAGTCCTCTTTTTTGTTTTTCAATGGCGATGGCTTTGACAACACGGTAGCTGGGGGTCTATAAAGTTTGTAATGGATTGATTGTTACAATAAGAAAAAGAAAGACTGTCTGACTTAGGTTTAAGTTAATTAGATAATAATCTTGTTAATCATGATAATACAAAAAGCTAATTAAAGGGATGTGTATATGATGTTGTGAACAATACAATCACGGAGTTTACAAGGAAAGAAAGATAAGTTAGCTTAATTTTGGACAGATAAGATAGTAACAAAATAAACTTCCAAGCAAACAAAAAGGTTTAGTCAAATTATTTTTTTGAGTAAAAAGTACTACAAGAATATGAAATGAAAGCTTACCTGGACATTCTTGATACTGGCTTATTTACGATAGAAGGTCCCAGCTGAATAGGCTCTGAGGATTTCTGAGAAGTTTTCCTTTCTGCTGGCTTAGAATTGTTACCTTTAACAGGCTTTGTTCTTTGTTGAGAAGGAAATGAAGGAAACTGTGGCATCATAGCACCAGTCTCATTCTGAAATGCAGACTTAGCCATGGCTTCTACTGCTATTCTATTAGCTTTATCTTGTTGTTGCTGCCGCATGAAATTCATTTGATTCTGAGATTGCATTTGATAGTTTTGCTGTAAGCGTTGCTGCTGCATCATATAGACATGGCACAGTTGCTGGAACTGATGCTGTAGTTGTTGTATCTGTGCTTGTACCTGAGGCTGTTGGGGTAGGTCCCGCAACTGTTGAATCTGTTGTTGGTGTCTTTGCATCTGCATTAATAGCGAAGAAGTCTTTAATTGTGACATGTCTTGTGGACCTGACATCCTGTACCCCGGAGGATACTGATATCCTGGTCCCTGTGCCATCTGGTCCGTATTACCCTCCATTCCCATAAATCTATCCATCCCCTGCATCTGCGGATTATTAAAAGAATTATACATCGAAGGATCCATATTACTATTCCCTGGTGAGCCTCGTTGCATGGACATATTATTACTTTTCATCCCATAAAATGATGGGAAGGTTTGTCCAGGTTTTCCTTGTACCCCATCTTTGACACCTGAAACAGAGGAGGGATGGTTTGGCATACCACTTTGGCCTGGAACTTCTTGTTGTTGCTTCAAGTCCATCATGTTGGGATAATGTCTTAATTGAGACTGTGGACTTTCCTGTTGCTGTTGTTTAGAGCTAGAACGTTCAGGAGAAGGTGTCGAGAACCCCAAGTTTGAGTTCGGTGACGGCACTTGCTGCTGTCCGAGTCGAGATGCCTGTGACACAGAAGACATGTTGACATTATTTAAACCTTGCTGATCGGCAAAATGTTGAAGACGAGGAGAATTGGCTCGGGGATAGCCATACTCAAACATCCCTCTGAACTGTCCTTGTTGCATTGACGAAGGAGGCCGTGTTTGGTCCATGAAGGGGTACGTTGAAGGTGAAGGTTGTTGAGGTCCACGCCATGCTACGTTCATCTGTGATGGCCGAGGGCCAAACTGCTGTGCGGGACGAGCCGTTAATTGAGTAAATTGTTGCTGTTGTTCTCCCTGCATTGCCGAATAAGGTTGACCAGGTGATGAAGAAAGCAACGGATCATTGAAATGTTGCAATTTTTGCGAAGACTGAATAAATCCACCTTGTGTGGCGGACATGGCTGAAGGGTCCACGAAGTGTTGAAGCTGTGCCTGTTGATTACCCTCCGTCGATCCTTGACTTTGGTTAGGAAAAGAAGAAAACGATCCACCATGTTGCATTCTTTCTGAAGACTGAGAGGTCTGATTCCCGAAAGATCCGTAAGTAGAACCTTGTAAGGCAGTCATGTCCTCTACTGGAGAACTTCCCGAATCAAACATCCCCAAGTACGGATCTGCCATGGCAGATTACACTCGCCGGTTCCCGAGCGCTCAAACGAACTTCCAAAGATCGTTAGCGCTTCTAGTCCCTCCACAATGCTTCAACAAGACCTAATATTAACATATACTCATTTTTAAATTGTCATTGGCTTTGCCTTTCGCTGACAGGCCATCAAAAGCAACGTACTTGTTGAACTGTAGTGAAGTCTTTGTTCGCTCACCTATAATGAAATGAAGGTCAAAAAAAAGAGAGAAATGGTTAAGTACTACACAACTAATCCTACAAAAACTACAAAACTCAATCAATTAATGGTAATATGATATGTAAATATGGTGAAAAAGGAGATATACGTGGTCGAAATGTGAACATTTACAACACCACGACACATGTGCACGATGGAGAAAGAAATAATGAATGGCTTTCAGCTTCTAAGCCATGTTTTAGTTGGACGTAACGACTACCAACCGAATGTCTTCGAGTGCTTCGGAATTCTAGATATTCTTCAATTGGAAGGCTTCGGTAATCATCTACAAGAGTTAAAATTCTACCATAGTAAAGCCAAAGGCTTAAAACATAGGCTAAATTCTTAGACAGAAAAAAGTTGCGAGGGCAAATTACGAAATTTGTGATCGTGCTTCGAGCGAGATGGTCTTGTAGTAGCGAGCCCCACTCCCAAACGGTCCTACCGAAACTCGCTTTACTTAATTCTATTTCGGTTTTAAAAACTTCAAACTACTTCAATTTGGATTCCCGATTTGTTACTTTACCGCTTTCTTGGATGTTCTAGTCGTATATACGGTCAAAAATACTGCGATCGGTGAAGACTAGTAGGAGGAATCGGACACAACATAGAAACTATAACCAACAGTAATGCCAGGTGAATAACCCTTCACTTGTGTTGTAACACAACAAAATAAAACTCGGCCTACAGTTGATTCAATGTGCAAATTGGCGTCTGGAGTACAGGATCAAAACAAATCGAGGTGGAAGTCTCGTGGGAGCCAGCAAAATACGAGGAATTGCCATCGAGATTCAAACATGCAACTGTGTAAGCCTCAAACCACGCTGACTTACAACGTCAATGTCAGAACAAAAGCGAAATGAGGGAAATAAGGACGATATTTTGGCTGGCTTACACGAGCGATCCAAGTGCAATAATTGATGTCATTCCAGGTCAACAACGCGATTAAAACATGGCCAAAGAAGAAAACACAAAACTAACCTAAACAACATGCAGTTTACAAAGCCCGCGGAAGGAAATAAAGTCGAGTCAAAATTCCTTGTTAGTGAATWTGCCAGAGATGGTTCTGTGAAAGCTCTTCGACGAATATCATGCTTGCTTTCACTGACGACCACGTTACGGGCCTCGAATCAACCAATCAGCGACCTCCTTTTCTGACAGGACCCGGATGTAGTGGGGGGAGGCATACATTTTCTATGACCCGTAATAGAGGCCAACAAAACGAATCAGAAAACTGCCGTTACTTTTGTTTGAGGTAAACAATTACGACTGACAAATAAATCCATAGGGGATTTGAAAGACAATGGTTGATAGGCAAGCAAGTTGGGTGCCATTCTTGAGACTTGAAAACTCGTGAGTTTTATCACAGAATACGTCAAAAGTACTCGAAATTCTCCATTAGATTATTTGTTAGGAGAATCCGATAAAATACTGAAATTCAATTATCGGAATTTATAGTTCAAGATTGTTTAGGGATTGAAATCGCGTGTTAAACTTTTGCCATGCATATGGGAAGGCTTGATAATCAGAAAAACTTCTCGACCATGAAACTAGTTCTTTGTCAAAATGGTCTGATGAGTGGCGGCGAAGAGCTGAGGTAGTACCAGGAGAGATTTTTTWAAATATCAACCAGTGTCAGTTAATCAAGTTTTTATCTTATTAAGAACTGTCGAAATACCATTTCAAAGTTCTTAATTTGTTTCAATTACTAGTGGTCAAATAATTAAAGAATGAAGGGAAAAGAAATAAGAAAAGAAAAAGAAGCTGAAAATGTATTAAGACAACAAAAGTATCCAAATTATTTATACTCAATATATACATTTCGATTTGTTTTTACTTGTCAACCTGTCGCTAAAACCTTGAAATTGGAATTATTTCTTAAAACTTGCTCTACACTCATCTTATAACTCAGTTAAATTACCGGTTTTTCGAAGACACTTCTTTCGAAAAAAAGTTTTTCAGAGTGACAGGCTCTCGTGGCGTTACGCTATTTTGAGCTTGCTTTTTTAATGAAATCCATTTTTATTCAATTATGATTCTTCAACAGTGCTGCTAAAATAACATTGCATTCATTTTTTGTACTTAATTCACTTTCTGTGATTTTTTCTTGTCTTGTTATCGTTTTTAGAAAAGTTTTATGCGGTCTAAAATTTGCTATGACAGGGGAGGGGACGGTGCCCTGTGCAATGGGACCAAAATTTTGAAATACAATTTTATTGCTATTTCTAAAAATATCTGAATTTTCGACTGTTATATTCATAATGACTTTCTGCGTTTATCGAAACCGTTTTTTTTTTNTTTTTTTTTTTTTTTTTTCCATGGAATTTAAAGCCGAACCTGTGAATAGCTTGCTGTTTACGTGAACTGTTGTCCAGGTGCGATCGACTGCACCCACTTGCGTGATTTTTTAATGCCGGATTCTAGCGACGTTGGTCGATACTTTCTAAATGCTTCCAGCTTTATTGCGTAAATTCAATTTATCCTCAACGATTCTCGAAAGAGTTTCGCCCTAAATAGCTTTTAAAATGATAAATAGCTCTGGCCTGAGCATAACAAAACCATTGGTGATTTCCGTCCGCCCTTTGTGTTAAATGGTCCTCGATAACTTGAGATATCTCCTCATTACTTTCAGAAAACTATTTTTATAGCTACTAAAAGTGAAATTTCAACCTTTTTATCTTAAGGCACTAGTCTTTTTGAGGCATAAATTAACATTTTATTAACCTTAATAACTAAACTTAGATTTCTCATATCTAGGGTGTGTTCGGGATTTTAGGAAGTCATTCACCTGTATTTGTCCAAGTGAGTGCATTTGGTCGGATCGAACCGACCCTCTTAATACGGCTGGACGCCCTGTTGTATACGGACACTTTCTCTGGTCCCTTGGATCCCAGTTTCAACTGGGTTAACTAAAAATAAGGGCCACCATCACGGAGTCGTTGCCTAAAAGATCAAAAGGGTACAAGAATAGCTCTAAAAAGGAAAGCAAAAAAGAACAAAAAGCATCGACAATTCGAGTTTCTCTCACATCATTAAAAAATGCTCTGCGCAAAATGTTGAAAGGATGACTGATTAATTGAAAATTATTTTTAGATTTGCATAAAATTTAATATAATCCGAGTTATTTTCTTCTCCTCGAGTTGACTAGATTGTTCATAAAACTATTAAATCTTAATATTTTCCCGTTTGCCGTTATTATAAGCCAACTATTTTGCTCTTCCGTACTTAAGATGGAAACTGGTTTACGTCAGACGAGATTTTCTCTCGATTATTTCAATTATCTCACACTAAACTGCCGATGAAAAGAGCTGTTTTTCCGGTTTATAACGAAAATCTCTTTAGGGAATTTTGGAATAGCTCTTTATTTGTCAACGGATATCTTTCGGCTTTACAGTGTAATCGTGAGCTCAAATTGTCAATCCAGGGTTGAGAAAAAAACTGAGTCGAGTTTGCAATGGAGTGTAATGTCAGACGAAATAGGAAATAGAAAATTGGAAATATGACCCCATGGTGCATTGCAATGCCAACTCGACCCAGGTTTTTTCGTAATTAGGCGCGCTTATCTTCTTCAATGAGGGTCTTGAATCTCAAACCAAGAGAAAATGAACTTAGTTTATTTTCTCTTGTTCAATCCCATTCCCATTTTTAATATATTTGTGTATTTGTGAATCATTCCTAGTGCATAAAATCCCTTTTGCACCGATCCCAAAGGCAAATCCTAGCTCCCATTTTACCCCTTCAGAACCCTCTTCAATGCTCTTCGTTTTAATCCTTATGTTTCTGCCTTGAATATTCTTCCTTTCTTTTTTCTCCCCTGGTTTAAATGGAAATAAAACCCAAAGTAAGACTAATCGATTCGTCATCGAAAAGATCGACCTATATCCGCATGGAAGTAATGCCCAAAAGATTTGTTGAATATGAAACCGGCTGAGGAGTAGCTCAAGGCTAAGGTTCACGGCTCTTTATCTTGGACGCAATGTTTTCCCATTTCAAACCCCGTGTCATTCTCTTGAGAATAAGATTCTTTGTTTGAGTTGTATTCATATTTATGTGTCTTATCATGAGCAAACCATTAAACAAAAAATGTTACTCAAGGGAATGACATGTGGTCTCAAATGGGAAAACATTACGCCGAAGATAAAGGCTATATCGGCGTACCTTGGGCGTTGAACAACCGTTAAAGAAAAATGATACTCAAGGGAATGACAAGTGATTTTTTGAAAACGGTTTTTGATTGACATAAACCAAAACTTTGTTTTGTCGAGACAGAAAATTGTACGATTTTGCGCGTGTGATTGTATTAATATCAAGAGAAGAGAAGTCAAGAGAATGTAAGTCGAGTGGTTTGATGGGCAGTTTTAAAGTTAATATCGAACTAACGGATCATTAATTAGAGTGCATACCATATGTATTTGTAAGAAATTGCACAAATTTGCACTAATAAGTAAGTTCAGTAGACAGCTCAGTAGACCGTAGACCTACAAAACTTTGCACTAATTTRTACAATTTTGTTAGTTAACTTTTTCACGGATGTATGGTATGCACTCTACTGACGCGGTAATGATACTGCATGCATGTTTTAGTCTTTAATGTCATTTTTCCTTTTATTTTTTTCAGTTTATTTTTTAATCAATTAGCAGTTTTGGTTTCGTTCTTTGTTCTTCGTTCTTTCACTGGAAAACAACGAGACGGTCAGATCATCCTCCTCACATCGTTGCGTTAATGGCAGGATTCACGCCATCATTTAGTATCTGAGTATATAGAGTTTGCTTTTTGGTTCTCTCTTGTTTTTGAGGATTTTCTTCAAGTTTTCCGTTTTTGTTCCCTCCACAATCAACACTACAGAATTCCAACTCAACCACTAGGCCAAAGCAGGTTTGTTTGCCACAACTATTGTTACCGTCACAAAAGCAAATAAGATTTTCGCTCTTTTTTATCAGTAAGGCAACACGTTAAAAAAAGTGCCGGCGTCTATCAGGAGATTTTTTATCCACGTTGGACTGGGAGTCTAGCGAAGTCGCGGTCTACTCTTCATCACCGACTTAGGCTACAAACACACGGTGTAACCATAGTTAATGGAAAAATAAAAACATAGAACAATGGGTTTCCCAACCATTCCGCTCCATTAACTATGGTGTTACATTACTCGCAATATAATGTTGAAGCCAAACCATAATGCGAGCCATGTCGCATGTTGCACGCAATGCTGCTAAAGTTGAATTCAATCACTGTCTGCAACATTAAGCGCAACGTTACACTGTGTATCTGTTAAGCAAGATTATATATATTACATTAAAACTAGGTCCAAACAAGTGAATGTCGAAAATCCAATGGCTTATTGAAAAACAATAAATCCTCTTACGTTTTATTTCAGTTTACAGCGTTTTTAAATTGACAGACTGTGTAGCTACGCAGGCTATTAAATTGGAACAGAATATAATAATTTATAATGAACTGATTTATGATTTAAAAGTTGTTTTAAACCCGCTTTTCATTGCGCTGTAATTCAATCCAAAAAGAAAGAAAAGAAATGCCATTATAAAAGTTTGAAACTTAATTGAAGAGCTTTACGTTTCAGTTCATAATACCTCTGTGGGAGTGCCCCGTAAATGTTGTGCATGTTAATGGAGAAACCTCCGATCAAACTCTGGGAAGGGGTGTCGGTGAATAAACTAACTTGTACAGCCCATGGATCATACTTCAACCCTTTATTTMTTCTACTAAATACACAATTCTTACAATACTGTTAAAAATTGACCGAAAATACTAATTTTTTGGGGTGTATGTGACGTCATAACAACCGCCATTTTGGTTGACTGAGTTATAGTACAGTAAGAATATTAATAATTATGAAAATAACAATATACATTTATAATGCGCTTATTCAAAAAAATAAAAATGCTCTAAGCGCTAAAATAAAGAGATTGTAAAGAAAAAAAAGATACATAGTTACAAATTAAACGCAGATTTAGACTTGAATAACGAAAGAGTTGATCCAGCGCGTATAGCAGGCGGAAGAGAGTTCCACAGTTCAGGGCACACACAGAGAACGCATGATGACCATAACTTAACATAACTTAACCTTAACTTCACTTGAAGAACTGCAGATTTACGTCCAAGAATGGGCTTTCTACTGTCAATCTATATCCCATTAACAACCGCCCAATTGTGGATATTTTGTTTCTAATGTTTCAGTAATTTGATAACACAGTAGAGCAAATTACCTTTCACGTTAGTTATAATGTGCGGCGTTTGTATGGGCTATCGGGTGGGGTATACCAACACTGGATAAAATCAATACCGCACTCCCTTAACAAAAGACCAACGTTAATAAGCCTCAGGTGTCTTTTATAATGACATTCAATCTCATTTATAAAGAAAAGAATACCAAATATTTTTGGAAGGTCACTGATTCCTATCTATTTCATTTTTGAGTGGACGCAAAGTATCTTTGAAAAAAAATCTCTCAAAATTTTTATAGTACATGTAGTCCTAAAGAAACATACCACGTAGAAAACTAGGCTGGTTTTTAACAGATGTACGAGCTTGTTCAATAAAAACCGCGACCAGATGGCTCATTATGAGCCCATGAGCCCATGATATGCATGTATTATACAGGGAGCTGTCAAATGCTATGTCACTTTGTACAGCGCCTAATTTTAAGTTGACACGAGTCAAATTGTTTGTTGGACGATTTTTATTTTTTAAGCAAATATTTAGACAGAGGTGACACTAATAATAACGATTTGGAGGTCACCAGGTTAAATTTGCAACTAAAAGTTAAGGTTGATGAAAATGATAACTCCATATTCAAAACAACTAGTGGATATATTTTCCATTTTTCTGAATTTGAATTGAATTTAAAATCTATGAATTTAATGACATTGAGAATTGGCAACAATTTTTTTTATAGCTATCAAGAAAAGGAAAGAAAAGCAAAAAGGAAAGGAAATAAAGAATGAAAGAACAGAGGGAAAATATAGTGAAAAGGGAAAGGGAAAGAAAGGGAATGAGGAAAAAGAGTAAAGAAAAGGTAAGGATGTGAACGTTTGTATAKAAAGCGAAAGAATAAAAGTCATATATTATCCAGGAAACATTTCGAGTGTTGACAGCACTATAAATATGTTTACTACAAAAAACAGCCGATCGATACGTTAAAATATCGAAAGCTTAATTTTTGGTTCAGCCATGAGAGTTTTATTCAAAAAAAAAAAAAAAAAAAAAAATTCAAAATGAATTTTACTTGCTCTGAATCATGTATGCCTAATAGAGATTATGGCTTCCTTCACTAAGCCAACAAGAACGGTTTTATTTTCCACTAATTACATAAGAACATACGAAATAATTAATTCGGGCCTTTGGCTTTCTTTTGTTTATTATATCGCAGGTAAGGGCTTGTTAGCTCTTCACGTACTATGAGTGCATTCAAGAGATGCAAGCGCTGATTGGCTGGTTGTCAATACACCTGCTCTGTTACCAGAGTCTTCTGTTATTTGCGCTGACCACATGCAGATTTTACACGTGTTTTCGAGAGCAAAACAATAGGAAACTCGACAAGAGAGAAGAAAAACTAAATACCAATGTTAATAGAATGCAGGAGTTTCTGTTTCGACCTGAATCTTAATTAAAATCCATTGAAGAAGAATTTTAAAAAGTTCAAAGTTACTCTTAGAGAACGTCATCATCCTCTTGAATTTTTTTCGAATGAAATTACGAAATGCGGAAAGCAATAAAATATGATTTTGTTCGGTTGTGAACTGGATTTATTTGTAGCATTCGCGAGTTTTCGAAGACATAAATATGAATATGAATAACGATACTTGTTTTAAAACATTCCATATTCGAATTCGTTTCGAAAGGATGTCACTTTATAACCAAAGCGTTTTATGTTATGATCGAATCACACTCTTAAAATACTGCAGAATGATGGCGACAAGCTCTCTAGAAATCGCAATAAAAATACAGATAAAAGAGTGCTTTTATCACATAATTGAAGGAAAAATTCATTTCTAAATTAGACCTTTGATTATTCTTGACCCCATATTGAAATTTTTAGGGTTTAGTTGTTTTACGTCGTATTTTTTGACAAATTTGTACAATATGATTCTCAGTCACCTACAGTTAAAGGACACTTGATTAAGTCTAAGGAATTCTGTTAAGAGTAACTCACCTCAGTCTGTTGTATTAAAACTTCAGATTCACTTAACAAAAGAACGAATTTCTGTATCGAAGACTTTTTACGTTAAAGAAATAATTTCAATATTGAAGAGTTCACGTTTCTAAAATCATAGATTGCGTTACCGTCACGCTTAAGTCGTGTGACTCATTGACGGGTGTACGYGTTTTAGAATTGCGGCGCCATGGTTTATGACGACTGGAGATGATGGTCACAAGCAATTACTTCATTTTAAGGCTGCGATTGATAAAGATAGATAATGACCACCAAAGAGTGACGTTTTGTAATTTAAAAACAGCGGGACAATACCATTTGAGAACGGATGACAGCTTGAACAAAGAGCGAAGCAGTTAGTTTGATGTTTTGAATGAATGTTCAGTCTTTTTTTGATTTTAAATGATTAATGGAGATAGAAAGAGGACAAGTTGTCAACAGTGTGTCGTTAAAAGCGTTCTTTGTAAACGAGCCCAGGAGGAAAAAGAACAATCTACATTGATCAAAAATATTTTCTTTTATACGCTGCCGCGCGCGACGCCTTGACATAGTATATGTGCTATCAAAATAAAAATATTCTTGATTCAGGAAGAAGCGGTTACCTTACAAAGGGGAGTATTCTTATTTGCGCGCCGGTACTGCGGTCATTAACTCTAAGAACTACTTCTTAGAATTAGTACTTCAGTTTTACTGCCTCACTGATGTTGGTCGACCATTGAGACCAAACAATAAACGCAAAACTACACAGTTTAAGTTTTCCTTAATAATGCTAGGTGATAGAGAAGAAAAACGTACGCGTCGTACGAAACATTTTTACACTTATGGAAAGTGACAGCGCCTTTCCACTTGTTAGGCATTTAGCAGTTAAACATTTAGCATAACGTCGTTGGTTCGATGGAACGTCCACACTATTAAAAAAATTCGACCTAATGCCTATCTATGAGTTCTCTGAACTGAATGACAGCTATCATTTTCATGAGATCAAACAGCATATTTGTTTTGTTTTATGACAAATAAATAACAAAGTAGTTTTTGCCTAATTGAAACCTAGGTGCTTGGGTCGACCAATCAGAAGGCATTTTTCCTGAGTTCGGTAGATGGGTTGTGCTGATTGGCAATAAGAGGTTTAAACAATCGAGAAACAACACAATGTTTAGTGCCAGAGGTGATCAGCGCTGCGCTTATCGTTCAAGATTCTGCATATCAAACGGACCCGACTAGAATACTCCATGCAGCAAAGTTTTAGAACAAAAGCACCGGCGTATGACGATAAGGACGTGTCGAAGCCGTGCCCTTGACGGTTCCCTGTTCAAGCTTTTTCATTGGACGAGCAGAAGCTTGTGCGCGGTGACTGGTTCAACGGATTTCGTATGACTTTGCCTCTTCAGGCCCCGTCCACACCTTTCGAGGTTTTTTTTTTCTTTTGAAGACGGAAACAAAATTTTTTTTACCGACATTCATATGAATTCTACCCCGCTACGTGGGGTTCGATTTTAAAATACGCGAAAGATCATGTTCCTCATCTCCTGCTGTTGTTTTCCATTCCGAAAGAGAGCGAATTGTATCTAAGCAACGGGGCCTGCTAGTAGTGTTTTCCTTATATTTGCGTGGGAAGAATAATATACCTTTTTAGCTTGGGCATAATGTTGTAACGTTTTCCAATTTCCAACCACTTGTCATTGTTTTGAGAATAATGAAGTCGCTATTCCATTCTATTCCATTCTATTCCATTCTATTCCATTCTAAGCGAATCTTTGTTTGAGTTGCATATTTATGTGTCTTCTCGTGCGCAATCGTTAAAGAAGGAAATGATACTCTAGGAGATGACACGTTATCTGAAATGAAGGTGGTTTTCTAAAACCCGTGAAACAAAGTGCAATAACTAAGGTGTAATAAATTGTAATACACCGAAAACACAAAAGAAAATCAAAAGAAAATGCGGACAATAAAGTGTATTACAGTGTAATACGCTAAAGTGTATTTCGCGRGTTTTTGAATAGCACTCTATTTTAATAATGGCGTACTAAATTTGTTCGTCAAAACATTTGCGTACTTCCAAACAGGTCATCTTTCATCGTTTTAGCCTTCATTCAACTGTTCTTCGTTGATTGAAGTCACATAAATGAGGCTAACGACTCAATACGAGCACACCGCTGAGAACCGTAATATCCGAACATCTTTTAATTACAAGTGAAATC